ATTGCGATTCCATTTTGGATAATGAAGTTTCCATACGTTTCGGACTTTGTCCTCCGTTGTTGTAGAGAAGCATATATCGCTAGTGAATGATTGAAAAGCAGAAAGTAACTGGACTGGTCATATTTGTGATTATGAGAGTGAGTTTCAGCGAAAAGTTTGCTCGAATGTCGATCTTTTTGATAATTTCGTTCGTGAAGAAATATATAGGTTTTGTAATAAGGAAAATTCCAAGAAAAGAAAAGCTTTACCCAGAACTCACTTTTCGATGGGACGAGCTCGTCTTGGTTGAGGTCAAATTGTAGTGGGTGGATATCTACGTAAACCTTCTTGATCAGTTAAAAGCCAAATTTGTTATATTCCCTAAATAGCTACTGGTCTGCGCCATGGGTTAAATTATTAGATTTTAGACATGCTCAATCAGATGAAAGGGAAATCGGAATAAGTCAGAGAAGACGATTTCTTTTCAACGGTTTGGACCGCACCCACATTGTCGTTGTGACAGATACTTTATAAAGTTCTAAATTTAAGTTCCACATCAATCAGCGAATAAAATGGACCACTGGCTGTTATGAACATGAACGGTAGAGCATACGCGCCCTTTGTTGGTGACAGAAACTACTCGTACTTTCTTGTATCTAACCTAGTTGCTTAAAATGGAGTAAATGTATGGAAAGTGTGGCCGAAAACAAAGGATTTGAAAGTTTAAAATTTTATCTGAATTATTGTGAGCGAATTCATAATCAGTTTACAAACCTGCCAATTCGCCTCACAAATACCAAGTGTAAACGTAATTACGTTTAATTAATCTAATTCCCAGAGCCTTTGTTTACACCTTAAGTTTTCGTACAACCTCCAAAGACCATTTGAAAATTACAAATTGCCTTGAAAATCGTCTCCTTTATTAAGAGAGGAGATGTAAGATTAGAAGAATCTTTTCGTACGTGAGGTATTTAATGCGTGGGCGCAGTCTCAAATTAATTTGACTTCGTCGAAAAGACAGCAATTTTTCATCTACATGCAATAAAATTTTGCGGCGCCATGTATACAAAATACTGACACCTGGCATGATATTGTATTTTTTGTTTACAGTTACATTTCAGATATAGAAGTATCATAAAAACCACAACCTGCAGCGGCTAAAAGCCTCTAAAAACGTCCAAAGCTTAACAAGTTTCTCGATTTTGATAGATTAAACTATAACGGTTTCCACTAGTGCCATTGTTAGATTGTTAGGGGATGGTTACATCTCCACAATTAGCCACCATCTTTTGATGCGTTGGAATTGAATTTTTGAAATATTTTGTTTTTCTATTTGTGCAGTAATTAAGACTAAGCTGTTAAGATAAAATCGCCGGAATACACATAGTTTTGGTCAAATGTTGGTGGTATTGGTGTTTCATTACATAAGGCGTCATTTCAAATTTTCGGGTCCACGGAGTTCATTTACACCCCTTCATTTTATGGAAATTTTATGCGGTCAAAACTACGAGAATTTGAATTTTTTAGTTCTCTTGAGAGAGTCATGTGGGCACGAGAGTTGGTTCATTACAAAATCGGTCGCCTACAATTCCCGCGCAACTGGTAAAGGATACTTAACTGCGGTTTGAGACCATTGAAATCGATCGCCATATCAGTCTGCTTCCTACAGTGAACCTAAAAGTGCCACAGAAGGCTACCAAGAGAAAGCAGAAAGCAGTAAGCAGTAAACGTATCTTCGTCGTTTCCGCATCATCCCGATCAGCTTTCGTAGGCGGAGGAAATTCATTTTCATTCGCAATGAGCTGCTTGAAAGTTGTGGTTTACACGCTCGCCGTCACCGTTTTGCTTGGAGGTAAGCTAGGTTTACTACGTCTGGTCAATTTGCTATCAAATTGTTTTATGAGCAAATCGGAGAACAACTACATGCTTTTCACGAGGAAGGAAATGAACAGTTAATTTTGAGTGTCGCGATAGGCAAACGAAAACGTGCGTTCGTTGTCTTTTTCTTTTTCTGACGTTCAAATTCAGAAAAGTAGACTGTTCGTAATTTGCCAATTGATCGTTGCAAACGGTAGCACAGATTTTTTGTTATTGCAATTTTTCCCTTCTACTTCGGTCATTAATTTAAAAAATTGAATCGGTGAATTAGCATAAGGCTTGTATGTGGCATTTGCCATAAAAGAGCGTCAATGATTATGTCGCGAAGAACGCCTCACAATAGCAAAGTGATATGAGCGGACCGGGCTTGATGCCCAACTCGCCTGCTTTTGTTTTCATTAAGCGAGTCTAACCTTCAAGTCACGGGGGGAAGGCGACGAAGCTTAAGGCTTTGCTAAATTAGGCTCAGTAAGCTGACGATATAGTCTATGGCAACTGAATTCATTCGCGTCGAAATTCGACGGAACCGTTCACGGAACCGTCAACGTAACCGCATCACAATTTAAACTGTGAATTCATCTTTCTCGACATCATAAGCCTGTGCTTTAATTTTACGCCAACTCGTGATGTTCATTGGACAAGGCAAGGAGGTTCAAGGTCCAATTTAAAGTTGCACAGCATTATAAAGAACATGTTCGGGTGTGAAAAATATGAATAACTAAATTAAAACAAACCCGCAAAACGTTTATTTAAGAAGTGATTTGTGAATAAATTTTTGCTCGAAAGCCTTTGAAATTTCCGTGGAGCGAATAGATGGTCTTTTAATTACATCGCTTTTCAAGGATTTTTTTTAAAAATAAAATCAACCTGTAGGGGGTTAAAATTTTAAGCATGGCTTTAACATAGAACTATCGCTCGCTAATTTTCTTGTTGTTTTCTGTTTTAAATTTTTAAGTTAAATCCAGTCCTTTCAAATAAAAAAGGCACACATATGCCTTTTGTAAACGAGAAAATCTGTATCAATAAAACGAGAATTCTTTGAGAGATTTCTTTTTAGTAGGCTTAAGTGTAAGAAACATTTTGCATCAGAAAATATATTTCGAATATTTACGAAATAATGGCTGTTGTTGAGCAGAAGTAAAACAATTGCAACTGATTATCCTTTGTTGAACGTTTTTCAGTTTTACTTTTTGTTTAGGGTAGTGTAAAGGAAAAGTCGGATAAAAAAGTTTTTGATGCATTCAATTTGAAAAGAAAGCCTGTTTTAAAACAGAGCAATTAAATTCGGAAAATGGAACTTTTTTTCAGCATAATTTGCATCTTAGATTTTCTGTTAAAATGTAACTGACACTTGTCTTATGTCTAAAGTGCCAGATTGAAAACCTAAAAGCAAACTTTTGCACCAAAAAAGAAAGATTTTTTTAATTTAGGATTGACCGGCAAACACAAATGTTTCAACAGCTGCAAACGCTTTTTATCCACTGGCTAGATTGCAAAAATTGTCGTAAATGTATAAATACATTTTGTGATTATGAATGTTTCTCGGATGAAATGTGACGTCATAAAATTTAACTAATTATGCAGATTTGCTTGATTTGAGGAAAAAATACGTCTTTTTTGAGGGGTGGCAGGATTTAAAGAGCGTCAAGGTGCTAAGGGCATTATATATACGTAAATAGTTTGGGGAACTTATTGGAAGTGTTAAATATTTTTATGCAGAATCTAAGAGACTCTAGTCTCCTAATAGTACCCTTGCATGCATTTGACGCCAAAACATTTTGAGTGTCAATCAATTTTCTGCTATTGCCGTCGAATTAATGGAAACAGCCTTAAGGCGTAGGTCTTTTTTCTGGGCTATGATTGGTCAAAACAATCTGACAAACATTGAAAACCAAAAAAAACAGGTGAAAGTCTCACGTAATTACACAAGCGGGAAACAAAATCTGAATTCGCAGACTATTTTAAAAGGTCTTTAATACTTCCAAGAGGCAAATGACCTTGTCACCATGGATTTTCAGGGTAATAAGATGTGACGTTTCAAAGTTGTAAGAGCTCCGAAGCTATTTAAAAATGACAGCGAATAAGGAATCACGTTTCAGAAGAACACGGCTATTATTTTCTGGTGTGGTATTTGTCCCTGAGCAATTAAAGCATGATAAAGATGTCTATGCGAATTTCTATCTTTTTGCAGAGTATAATTAATCTCTTTCAGGGCAAAATTAGGCGCCAGTAATTTGCATCAATTGGAGACAGCCGTATTTTCACTTGCGCTCCTCAGAAGGATCCAATATGGCGTCAATATGGTGTCCCTATACAAACAACCTGTATATCAACTTCTGTGAATTTCTGTCAGACGTTTCGGAAGAAAAACTAATAAAATGGAAAGTGCTTGCATCTGAGACTTGAGCGGGTTTTTAATTGCCATATGCAGTGAATCAGACAGCCTTAGAAAGCTCCTGGCATTCAGCAGTGGTCTGATTTTAGTTATTGAAAGCAGTGAACATAAAACTACCATTATATTGTTATACGGGAAATTTTAAAGACTGATCGTTCTGGTAACTCATTTTTCACAAAAAAAAAAAACAATCGAGTAAGGTAAAGGTAAGCAGGTAAATGTTCAAGTCATTCTTTACGGCATGTACTCGAAAATTTGCTTCTTTTGGTTATTTCTATATCACCAACCTTCATCATTATAAATCAGTATTAACAAGTTCTGACCGATGCTCACAAAAGCGACAGTAAACAGCCCAATACAGACGGCTTATGAAAAGCTAAGTTCTAACTAAAAACAAATAAACAAACATGAAAGACAAAGATGAAAACATCCCCCATTTCTTCCCCGGAGGAATTTCTACGAAACGGGAAAAAAAACATAAAATCTTCTAGGAAAAATGAAAAGAAACAAATTTACAGTACTGTTGAATATAATAGCCGTGCACTTAGATCCTTGTTCCCCATTCGGTTATCACAACTACCTGAGAAATTTTCGTTTGTAAGTAGCGTAATCCTTTCAATAGCTTCTAATGTAAGTCTCTATTACAGTAAATCAAGCAAGCTCAAGCAACGCCAGCTCACAGACCTTCTCGAAAATCAGTGTTAATACAACAACGGGGACAACGACCTTGAAAGCTAGTGAGACCAGCATGGCCGGCTCAAACTCGGTTACCTCAGCCAGCATGAAGGCTTCCCAGTCACACGGAGCATCAGCAACTGTCTCAGCAACACCCGAACACGCCACAGCTACTGTCTCAGTGACACCCATAAACACCGCCTCTGTTGTTGAGACTTCATCTCCCTCTGTGAGTCAGAGAAGTGCCTCAGCCGTCTTGATGCACCAATCACAAACCACTATCTCCCGATCAATGACAAAATCACCAACGATTTCACCAACGAAGGGCGTGGACAGCTTAATAACCTCTTCCACCTCGACTCTTTCTCAGTTTGTGAATAGTGGCCTTAACTCTGTAAATGTTTCTGGAACCTCTTCCAGCGCTCATTCTTCGGTTTTCTCCAAAATGTCATCACGTTATGACAGTCCCCTTCCTTCCTCCAGCACAGGCTTCATGGGGATGACAAAAGTTTCATCCTCCACGACTGCTCGAGTTGCATCAAATCAGATGCCTTCAGTGTCCATGCTATCGGCATCAGGTAAATTAATTTTATAAAAAGACGAATACGCTAGACATGAGGCCTTTGTTGAGTAACTAATTTATTAAATCGTGTTAAGATAGTAAAATGACTTATTTTTTTCGTGTGTATTGATAGGAGATGATGAACAACACGTTTATGATAAGTCAATATAGTTGTGATGAAATGAAAAAAAAATTGATTGAATGATCGATTTATTGACTGAGTAATTAAGTGATTTAAAATCGATTTTTTTATAGTTTATTTACTCACTCCTGAAGTCACTCTCTTAATCTGTTAGTCAACTGACGAGTAATCAGCCACTCGTCATGCCTTTTAGTCAAACAGCGAGATAATAAGTCAGTCTGTGAATCGCTCAACGGGTCTTTGAGACGGTCAGCTGGTCTGTAAAATTAAGTAAGTTATTGTGTCTCTCGATTAATCAATAAATCAATCAATTTGTTTTGTAATTTCTTTTTTTTGTCTCTAGCAATTCCAGGTCAATCGTCAGACGAAATCAGAGTGTCATCTTCTGCAATAGTACAATCCTCCAATGATGACCAGTCTACCCTTGTCAAGAGCTCCTCAGTAGGTGGTAACTCGTCTTACGGGGGATTGATTACCATTACAACACAGCATCTCGAGATTTCCGTGACAATGTCTATGAAAAACGCAACCAATTCGGTTGGAGTTAACGCTACACCATCGTCTCCAATTATCCCGCTCAGTACCTCTGATGTAAAGCCACGCCCAACTCTTCCACCCCAAGGAACTAAACTGATCAACATGGAAGTGACGTTTAATTTGGATTTTATTGAGGAATATAACGATCAAAATAGTCTGGAGTACAAGTCATTGGTGAAGAACCTAACGAGAGCCTTGGAAAACGGTTTCAAAAACCTCGATGGCTTTGTTGGTCTCAGGATTGTCTTCATAAAGGAAGGAAGTGTAGTTTGTAATTACATTGTCATTCTAGCCAAAGATTCCGCGGTCGATGGGAATGATTTAAAAAAAACTTTACAGGAGGCAAGCGAAAATGGAAAATTAGCATACAAAGTAAAGAATATTGATGTCAAAGAGGAGGCAACAACGGAAACTGTGGAAAAACTACCAGAATGGGCCTTGGTTATCATGATTCTACTGGGATGTCTGTCGTTTGTTTTCCTTATAACTATGATCTACTTCTGTGTAAGTATCTTTTGTGAGTGTCGTAAAACCAAAATTAAAGTACTCTAAACGAGTAATGGGAATAAAGAAGCTCCAAGAAAATACATGCAATCAGCCCCTAGCGCTAGAAAAGGCGAATGATTGGTTTCAGTCTTGCATCTGATAGGCTGAAATCAATTACAAAGGGAATTGCTTTGAGGTCGTTTTATAATACAGCGTTTAAATCACCGAATGCCTGAATATTATTTGTTAATGCATGCACACTGAAGTGGGAAAGTTTGAGGTGAAGTGGGAAATTTTGAGGTGAAGTGGGAAAGTTTTTATTTGTTAATGTATGCACACTGAAGTGGGAAAGTTTGAATGCGATCGCGCCTCGAAAAGGCCCATAGGGCCAAAACCAGCACAGCAACGTTAATAAAACTCGCTTTCCCAATTTCCAAAAGCTCAAACTGGTGTCCAAAAACGCGAGAGCGGGAAATGAAAGACAGATTTTTCTTGAAACAGAATCTGTAGCCACAATGACTAGAATCTCAATGTTGTTTTCCATGAACTACAGGTCAAATACAGAAGATCCATCCTTGGAGACAGTGACATGTATTTCATATCCAGTGGGGAAGTTGGACATGTGCATACTTACGACAGAGTATCCGTAGGAGAATATAATAAAAACCGAGGCTATCAAGGTCAAAAATCTGCCATAGATAGACGGGTGATCGGATCGCATACAAATCCTGTAAGTATTACCTACGATCTTTTTGGGGAGAGGGGGGAGGGGTTGTGTGTGGCAGTTGTTTCCATTTCTCTTTACCAAGCAAGCGAAACTCGAGTCACGATGGAGTCGCCCATTTACTTAGAGCATCTATTTTATATGATGCAATATGCTAAATTAAACAAGCATTTTTATTCATTTAGTTCCTTCTTATGATCTGTTGGAGGAAAAACGCATAGATGATATCGTTCCTAAGAGCTCTTGAGCTCTCTATTATTTATAACAAGTAGATCATATGTTTCTTTGCGTCCGTTCATCGGTGATACATCTCAAAACACGTCGAGATGTGATATAAGACTAGAAGTGACACATGTAACCGCACCTCGTGTGCTACTATTCTGTTTTTACCGCAGTTTGACGTCATCTGAGATTTATTATTGAACAGTTTCACGGAAACATGGAATCTATTAGTTTATGTGCTGAATTGAGTGGTAAACTCCCTTTTTGGAGATAACTGTCCTAACTGATACCTGAATAGTGAAGAAAACTTTAATCAACAACAATAGGACTCAATCGAATATTGTGCTCCACGTTTGCACTTTGGTTCAACTACTTTTATTTATCCCTAATAACCTATTAATATTTCTTTACTAATTAAGTTCCTCGAATTCAACAAGGGAATTATCATTTCATGTATCCTGTAAGGTTTTCAAATGAGCTATATATTATTGTATATGAAAAAACCTTGCAAACCTTTTCTTTTTTAGACCTACGGTGCCAATGGTGCTTTGGGAGACTAAGAGTTGGAAGTCTTCAGGTCTTGGTACTTGCGTTTGAGCATTTGGCCAAACGGCTTTAGTCAACTTCAAGTAGAAATAGAGCGGAACATGAAACGATTATTCTTGGTTTGTGGTAGTTACTTTTCGAAAGCGTGATGTAAAAAATTTTTAAGGTGTATGTCAAGCCACTGTAAAGAGCGTACCTTCATGCAGGAACTCGACAGCACAGTGATTCAAATGGTTGTTAGCTGCATTAGAACGTGGGTGGGGGTTCAGATCGATTTTGCTTGAACGCTGCACGTGTAACATAATATAGCATAAATTGCATTTTGTAGGGTTGAAATATATGATGATGATGAGTTTATAGAGATTGATAAAAATGAACAGTTTTCCTATATTGCTGGAGCATTTTAGATTTTCCTCGCTGCATGAGATTTGGCGGAACCAATTCATCTGACAAGAGCATTGATAAATAAAACTGCACCTTTACATTTCGCGAGCTTTTAGTTTCGTTCTTTATTTGGCGGTTGCTATTACGCACGCACGCTCACCTATCAAGGACTTTAACACTGGGAGCCTAGGTTCTATGGGTATCCTCGCTCCATGGAATTCTTGTCAGAGATTTGGCGAGAGTTCAACAATTCAAATTCCTGGCTGATCCCCGGAATTCCCAATAGAGACCTTAAACAAACCACGACGGCGACAGCAACTAGGACATGTAAAAACCAAAGATCTAATTGGCAGAACAATAGCTCAGCAATAGCTCAGTGCGTTTTAAAACTTTGTACATTTTCACCACAATTTGTGTCGTCTGTGAACCGGAACCGTGACAGCAAATTATTTTAACTTTCATTTGGAACTCAACGCTTCTTTTATACGTTATGCTGAAGTTGAGGTGTGGCGCCGTATGAAACGGTAAACAAATGCAACCATTTCTGAAATTCTAATTAAAGGTAGAAATTCATTTTTTAATCGAATTCTTCCTTGGCGATGCGTTAAGGTCCCTAATATAGGTTTTAATTCTGGTCGGTACATGCTTCAATGCATTATTACCTCATTCCGGGTGTCCTGGTTTCTTTTTCCCATTCCTCATTTTCTTAACACTCCACGCCTTCAACTTCCTCGATTCTGGAAGTTTCCTCCCGAATTAATTCACCGATAATTGAACAGATAAACAAAAAAATAACTGAATTAGTAAACTGAAAAGTCGGTGTAGGAAGAAAATGATTTGATAAATAAATATAAAACTGAATGAATGAAGAAATAAATAATTATATGATTGTTGGATTATAAGTTTCTCTTCAAAACAGTTACGTATTCATTCACTAGTGCCTTGCTTTTTCAGTTTAGATATTAAAAAATAATATTAAACCGTAAAATTAAGCAACAGATAAAACACTCGGAGATCATAAGAAGTTTTTTATCTTCTCGTTTTATCCATTTCCTTCCACACACTCATACCCATGAGAGGTTTATCTGACCTTCTGTTATTTTTAGAAATGGTGTATTGTGCACGGCGTCTACTATATCGGTTTCCTCTTTCCTTGTACGTGATCAGTTCATTTGGCTCCGTTATATTTATACCGGTGAGAGAATGATATAATATAGACCTTATCTTTGAATTTTCGATGTATACAAACACATTACTAATAATAGCATTTCGGACAGCCAATAAAAGCGCATGGACGTGCCAAAAAAAAAAACATTTCGAATAATACATGTGAGCAACTAAAATAATCTGAAAATATAAAATTGAATCGATCCGGGCGAGTCAGGATTGCGATCAAACTTGGAAGAAATGCAGTTTTTAAGCATAACATAATGCAGTCTCTTGAGGGACAGTTTTTGTATGTAAAACATCAATATGCGTAAGCTCGCCTAATTGTCTTTGAACTGTTTATATAGGCAAATGCCTTTTGCGTCAACGTGAAAGTTATTGCTCAGGTAAACACGCTCGTTCTCGCAGATTTATGCGGATCTCCCCACGACTGCTAACTGCGTTACCTTTACCAACAGCTGCTATTGGACCGTTCATTTCCTGTGTTGCTGTTTTGTTACGACTTGCGGATTAAATTTCATTTAATATCAGCCATAAATTTTTTCTCGCAAAAGCCTACAGTGGTTTGTGACGAAAGTCTTGCGAGCGGCCATTTTGCTGGTACTTGGAATTAGCGAAAGGTAAGCACTGAATTATTAATATTCTGTTCTAAGCTCTTGCTGAATGCAGTCTAGTTTACAATCGAGGTTTTGTCGATGAGTTAAGTTCCCAAGCGTATTGTTGTTGTCTAGAAACGTCGCTTCTTTGCGATGTTAAGCGAAGAGTAATCACCTTATCGCCATATTTTCCTCTTGATAATACAATAATCTCGACTGGCACGTTCTCGCACTAACTTGAACAGTTTTTTATTCCTTTAGAATCGAGGAGCAGTTTGTGAAAGCACTGAATTCAGCGATGCTTCGAACTCAACCGTCTATTCTCATTGTCTTTGTATTCGTTATGCACTGTTTGTCCGCTGTAATTGGTACAACTACAAGTAAGTGGCCTTTTGCTGTGAAAATAAAAGTTCTCTATCCGCTAGATTGGTGTACATTCAGTCATAAAAACATTTAAATGATTTCTTTCTGGGGTTGATTTGATATGCCTCGAGCATTGAACGTCTAAGTTTCGAAATAGCTACACGTTTTGTATGGTTCCAGTCGAATGACCATACTAAATCGATTTGAATACTATATTTTTATCCCGGAAGTAACACAATAAAGGGGTCCCATATGTAAAATTAAGAATTTTTATGCTTTTACAATAACTTATTTCCTGTATCACTTTATTTTAAAACATCTTTTTTTCATATATGCTCCTTTTTCTAATTAATGATTAAGTAACTAAACTGTAAACCATTATTTATTTTTTGTGACACAAACACAAACGAAGGCTCTTCATCTGTACATCAGATATTAAGATGCAATACCATGGTTTATTGGCTTAAAAAGCGTTCAACTCTCTCCATGTTCTCAGACATCTCGTTGAGGGTCGGGCCTTTGATTGCTTTAGAACTTTCATATCCCCAAATGTTATCACGGCCAGCCCACTGCGATTTATTTGTTTGAAAGAAGAATAATCCGTCTGTAAAAAAACACACGTTTTTTGTTTTTTTTTTCCACGGGAGCTAGATAAACAAATTGAAACTTTCATTTGGCGTCTATTTCTCATGTGTTTTGGCGAGAAAAGGCCCCATGAACGTGTGCGGCAACCTTGCAATATATCAATATTATTTTTCACGTGAGGTTTACAAGTTAGCTGAGACTTGGTAGATTAGAGCCAGTTCACATAACTCGCATCAAAAATATTTAAAGAGGGTAACTGAGTGGCCTTTGCTTATATAAATGGATATCACATGATTGAGGCTTCTTAAAATTATTCATGTGACATTAATTCTGAGTTCGTCTTCACCACGGGCGGTCAGATTACATGACAATAGGTTCAGACAGTTTTGTAGAAAAACCGGCATCTCGTGAAATCACCACATTTAACCTCTGGAAAAAATGAAGATGGGTTCTCGTGACATCTTTAAAACCTGTGTTACTCTTTCCAAACTAAGAAGACTCACCCAAGGAGAGATTCCTGAAAGTTGATGGAAGCATGCGCTTTCATCATTAGTTGAACAAAGTTCGAAAATGATGGAAAGTAAATTATTCAGGGAGGGGGAATCCGCGCATTTAGTCGTTTACGTTCATCAGTCCCTTTTAATTGTTATTGATTCTTCGTGATGTAAATCTTTCATCTGATGGGCTGTTTTGATATAAGTTTTGGATTTATGACAATCAATCAATATGCGCTCTCGGTATAGGTGCTAAATTACCACGACCTACACCTGTGGTACACCTCTATTTTAAAAGAAAAAAACTTTGATTAACATGTCTCCTTTTTCGCTAAACAACCATTCTAGTACAAAATTATGATAGGTAAACTGCGTATTTGTTGCTATTTTATGTAATAAAATTCTAAATAAGTAATCATCACACAAGTTTATTCTTATCTTTAACATTAGCGATAAATGCAAGTTCACCGACTACAGCGAGTACTGGTAAGTTTTTTTCCTGTTGTTTTTCGACCTCTCGCATTAACTAAGTTAGACTATGAGAATAATTCACTGTAAACTAAATTTAAAAATTCCTTTGTAGATCTTTGTGTTGTTGAAACTGTTGACTTGTGGGGGAAAATGTCTTGCCATCATCTCAACCAATCAGATGCAAATCTAAAATATTCCACAGCTTTGCCACCCGCGTTTTCCCGCGCATTTAGTTGTTTACGTTCATCAGTCGCTTTTAATTACTATCGGATCTTCGTGACGTAAATCTTTCATTTGACTGGCCGTTTTAATTATTTAAGTTTTGGATTTACGACTTTCAATCAATATGCGCTCTCAGCATAATCGCTAAATTACCACGTCATATACCTGTGGTACACCTCTATTTTGAAAGAAAAAAACTTTGATTAATATGT